AGATATCAAAACACATATGGGAACGTATTCATATGCAGAATTTTACGTCTTTAGAAACATCGAAATCCCAGTTAGATATTAGTTTGTTATCCAAACATGATCTTTAACATGACTGCTTGTCACAAACAGAGATGGATCTCTGGGTGAATGCGATGCAGTGTGAAGTACTTTGAGTGGTTGGAAAGACTAGAAAGGCACTATACAAATACAGACAATTTAAATGCAAAATGAGCCCAATTTTTTAATGTAAAATCAACATCTACAAATAGACAGTCAATTTGAATCTAGACACATTTTCTGTGTAAGACACAAATCACCAAAATCCTAATTACTGGGCTGGAGTATGACTTTATAATTACAGGTCCATGAGTAAATTGTCTTATCTCTTTGATTAATATTTTCATCTTCAGTTATTGCCACCGACATTTTCAGTTAACAGCTGAAGAATATAGCCTATTTAAAAATTGAATGTAACATCCACAACATTATTCCAGCACTTATTCATTCATTAAGGAAATTGAGGTCTGGTAAATGCTGAACACATTCATATTTCTAGTGCCACAGGATTCAAATGGAGGCTCTACCTTTATTCACTCATTGCCATGGTGAATTGTAGTATTGGTGTTCCATTGATGATGACTTTTTTTCATTCCTCACGCATGTGCTTCCATCAGGTTCATCAGGAATTGATTTAAGTAACTCTGATCAACTGATCTAGAACCAAATTTCCCATCTCAGGCTTAATCAACTCAGAGCTCAGGGTTAAACTCAGAGTTTATTAAACCTGCTGTCTGAAACAGGGCCCAGGACACAAGAGGAAGGACTAAAAAGGAGGGGGACATATAAATATTCATTTTGGAAACATCTAGCTAATTGATGTTCAGCTCTTCTACATGTCTGTATCAAAATACACTCAATCCAATAGGTACTGTATGTAGACTACATTGGCCTGAACTACATTGCTTATATTCTGGTTTCAGTTTTTCCAGCAGATGCTTTAATCTGCTGCAAGGATTTGCTCCCATTTATCTACAAGAGTATTAGTGAGGTTGAACACTGATGTCGGTCTGTGAGGTCTGGCCCACAGTCAGTGTTTCAATAAACCACAACAAACTGGGAAATCCACTTCTTCATGGAGTTGGCTTTGTGCATGAGGGCATTGTCATGTAAAAAAAGAAAAAGGCCTTCCTTAAACTGTTGAAAGTACACCACCGCCTCAAACAGCAGTGCCATTGATTGGAGCCTAAGGAGCCTAGCCAAACCAATAAAAACAGCCCCAAATCATTAGTCTTTCTCCACCAAACTTTACAGTTAGCATTATACCTTCAGGAATGGAGCATGGTATTCACCAAACCCAGATTCATTATTTGTAACTACAGACAGATTTCCATGAGTCCAAAGGCTTTACACCACCTTAGCCGGTGCTTGCATGGTCGCCTTGTGTGCCGCTGCCATGAAAATCCATGTCATGATGCTCCTGGTGAACACTTTTCTGATGTAACCTCTCTCCTGTACTTTAGCACTTGGGGCCCAAATTATAAAAAATACTTATAATAGATTTTTGATCTTAATTATGATGTAGTATGTATAAGTATTTATATATAAAAACCTTCCTTTGACGTGGAATTGACCATATCTCTGATCAAAGTCTAGAGTTGACTTAAGTGAGGTATTAAGATTTGGGAGGCATTGCGCCCAGGCCTGTGATGAACTTTGCATTAGCTCTATGAACAACGTGATAAGAATTATTACTCCCAAGCTTCGTGTTTGGCTTTGTGTGCCAACCCACTATTTAGGCCACCGAATATGTTGATATGTATTGCCTGGCTTCAGTCTCTTCATTGCCGTGATCTCGTTTTCCACAAAGTTTGCTTTTCTCTTTTGGTTCGTAGCTGTTCCTGACTAAACGCCCATTTGTGCTAGCATTAAGTTAGGTGAAACTGCTGAATGTAAGGCAGGTGCCATCAGTGAGATACAACAATTGCTTTATACAACAATATCAAAATGATGGATGGTGACCTTTGACCCTAGACCCCCAGGACTGAAATATTTTAAGGTCTTCTCTCTTCTAAATTCCTCCTATCTCTGCTCATGCACTAACAATGTAAGTCCACCCCCCCTCCCTGACCAACAATTGGACAATTGCCATAGTTTATATAACAATCATGTAGCAGTCAGGTGTGTATTCAAGACCTCTTTAACAGGTTGTAGTTTTCTCATTGCTGGAGTGTTTTTTTTCAACCCACTCATGTAGCTAACTGGAGTTCAATTAGCTAGCTAGCTGATCAAATCTGGCAGTGACAGTTGTCATTTCAGCTGACGTAATTTGTCAGTAGAAATGACTTTAATCAAGTATCCACAGTTCCAAAAATGAACAGGAATTCTGATGGTAAATCTGCCCTGTTGTCATTGTAAACTACATATGTAAACTTCACTGGACTGACCACACTGGATGTGAGATGTGGAATCATTAACTATGAAATTCGCATTATAGGGGTACCAGGCTGAAGTAGAAGGGGTGTTCATCAGGCATGTGGGAAGACATTTTTGCTTAGGGGTGCTGTACAGTAGATATGCACGCATGACAGACTGTGTGTGGGCACACACATGCAGCATTACTTCATGTTTAAATCTCCCAACACCCTGACAGGATCGGTCAGAATCTAATGTTAATAATGTTCTTCTACACATCTAAAAGGTCTCACACATAGATAGATAGATAGCTTTATTGTCACACATAGTCCAGGTTCATACAGTGAAACTGTTTGGTGTAAAGCAGCCGTCCTCCTGATCAATGCTGAGCTCCATCAGTGCGTCTAAATTGTTTTAGAAACTAAAAGTTTCATTATGTTTCCTCTGCAGGGTTTGCTCTGTCTGTCCTGTCAAGTTTATAACTACAGTTTTTAGTTTTGCTGCATAAATGTCCCAGGGTATTTGCTGTGACATTACTGCACCTGTGGAAGCGGCCATTAAAATGACTGACAGCAGCCTCTCTCTCTAATCATGAAAGTAAATCGTTAAAGAAAACACTCATACATCGACACAATAAAGCAATCACTTGGAAAGTTATAAGGACCGGTAGACGTAGGATAAATCTGAGAAAATAATAATTTGGGTGGGGGGCCGGTGGATGATTTGTGTGTAGGCCAGACATGATTAAGTAAGAGCTAATAACTAACTAATAACTAATGTAAGAGCTGATCCACACATCACACCAACATAGCTCCGTAATCGTGTATAAGTAATCGTGAAAAAACAGTACAAACAGCAGCTGATGTCACATTATTAGGCTGTAATATGAACCACAACATCCTCTGAATTCAGTGAAACCTGCTGTATTTTATTTTGTTGTTTAATAACAATAGTGCCCATTATGTAGTCTGCACATGTCATTTGCACACTGTGTTCCTCCCTGTCAAACCTGCACACTTGGAGTGCATACATACATGTACCAGTGTTCCATCTCGGTTTGAATAAAAACCTACAGAGTACAACTTGGTTTAGACACACCCTGTACTCAGCTAATATCTCTCAGTCCCGGTCTCAGTATTTATGGCTTTGTATCAAACACAACTAAACCCTTTCATGAATGCAAAATACATAGCATAGTAGCATAACTGCTACTAATGAGAAATAAACGTTTTCTTTTAGCTTTTTCTGGAAACTGAGAAAAATGATTTATTTGATTTCAAAGCCAGCATGGTCAGCCTGAGGCCACACATCTTCCTGTAAGTAAGAACATTCTGTCTTGTTCACATTTCATTTCACTTATTAGGATCCCCATTAGCTGTAGCCGAAGCAACAGCTATTCTTCCTGGTTTCCACACAGACACAAAACTCTATACAGTATAGTACACAATTACAGAAAATCACACCCACCAACACAACAAAGACAATACAACCATACACAAACACGATACAATACACTACATAAACCAGCTCTCATCAGTAAAAATCACTTAACAGAACAAACAGAAGAAAATCTATTATCTAGACAGCACTATATAGAGTCTAGATACCACCTAAGCGTCCTTAGATGAAGAAAGCTGCCAGGAGATGTTGTTTCAATGCATTTTAAAGCAAGTTTTACTGTTCTTGTGATGAATATGCTCAGGCAGAGCTTTCCATGCAACCATAGCTCTATACATTACAGTGCTGTTCATCATACTGGGTTTCTCTTTGTGTAGTGTAAATCTACCAGCTCAGTAGCGTGCCTGGTACAGCATGCACATCTGAGCTCCAACATAGCTGTCTCTGTTATACCCTTGTAATTTATGAACTGAAATCTTTTTTATAAAATAAAGAGGGAGTACATGCATTTGTTTTTTGTTTTTTTTTTACCTTTAACCAGGTTCACATCACCCTTTTCTGCAGAACACTGACAAGCTAGCAGGTTGATAGCTTGTTAAAGAACTAGCAATGCTGAGTTAATCAAACTGTGAGAAAACCCTTAGCCACTGCCTTTCTGTCTGCTTAATGAAGCAGTGTCCTCCAGGTTTCACATGGTGTGAACTGATAGCAGCGTCCATCTCTTCATTTTGTGTTATTAGACTGTTTTTCCAAAAGAAGCACGAGGGATGTGAGATTGGACGCATTTGAGCATATCTGGAAACCAAAATAAGTCACAGGGAATCCACAGAAAACATTACCATGGCAACGCATAAACAGTGTTATGATGGGAAAGACTCTGTTTTAATGCTGAGAAAATAACTAAACAAGGAGCTTGCAGAGGCTCAAAGGCTCCGTAGAGCTAAGAGAAACTGTGCAGATGACTACAGACTGTAGTTCTTTATGGTTGTTGGTTGTGGTCCTTGTATGACTACCTAAGAGGCCGCTTTTAAGGACTTTGGGTTACGTTACTGCTGTAACATCTAGCAAATTGTTTGTCTTATAGTCTAATTTTTATAAATCCCCTGTGTACATGTCAACTGCTCTCATTGTTCTCTTTCTGCTGTCCCAAATTCCTGATTGTTCTCTGGATCTCTCCTCTCTCCTTATAGGCACCAGCCTTCTTCAGGAGGTTGTATATCTAGTGAGTCAGGGAGCAGACCCAGATGAGATCGGCCTTATGAACATCGATGAACAGCTGCCTGTCTTAGAGTACCCCCAACCTGGCCTGGACATCATACAGGTAATGTAGCTGAAATCAGGTAGCATTCATTGAATTAATTAGCCAACTTAATAATGTGGAGATTTTAGATTTGCTAGTGCAAAATAATAAACAACTGTCTGGGTATGCCTTTTGCTGGGTGTAGCAGCATTACAACAAACCAGCACCCCTGTTTGGATGTGAAACATGAGATTTAGAAACACATTCAAAACAAGGCTAGCCTTACTTGCAATCACAAGGACTGGCTCTCTGTTAGCTAAATACTGTAGGTACATAAGAAAACCAAACAGAAAGGTATATCACATACCAAGTCAATGCTGGATCATTTACATGCATACATACATACATAAATACAGTATCTCACAAAAATGAGTACACCCCTCACATATTTCTAAATATTTGATTCTATTTTTTCATGTGACAACACTGAAGAAATAACACTTGAGTGTACAGCTTGTATAACAGTGTAAATGAGGTGTCCCCTCAAAATAAAACATCACACAGCCATTAATGTCTAAACTGCTGGCAACAAAAGTGAGGACACCCCTAAGTGAAAATGTCCAAATTGGGCCCAATTAGCCATTTTCCCTCCACGGTGTCATGTGACTCGTTAGTGTTACAAGGTCTCAAGGGTGAATGGGTAGCAGGTGTGTTAAATCTGCTGTTATCGCACTCACACTTACTCATACTGGTAACTGGAATTTTAACATGGCACCTCATGGCGAAGAACTCTCTGAGGATCTGAAAAAAGAATGGTTGCCTACATGAAGATGGCCTACGCTATAAGAAGACTGCCAAGACCCTGAAACTGAATGCACTCAACAGAGAAAAAATGTTGAGTGCACATGCTCAGCGTCATATCCACAGGTTGTCTTTGGGAAATAGATGTATGAGTGCTGCCAGCATTGCTGCAGAGTTTGAAGGGCTGGGGGGTGGTCAGCCTGTCAGTGTTCAGACCATACGCCGCATCTGCATCAAATTGGTCTGCATGTCTGTTGTCCCAGACAGGTCTGGGGCTGCATGAGTGCTGCCAGCACTGGGGAGCTACAGTTCAGTGAGGGAACCATGAAAGCCAACATATACTGTGACATACTGAAGCAGAGCATCATCCCCTCCCTTCCGAGACTGGGCCGCAGGGCAGGATTCCCACATGGTAACGACCCCAAACACCTCCAAGATGACCACTGCCTTGCTACATGATGGACTAGCCAAGCATGTCTCCAGACCTAAACCCTATTGAGCATCTGTGGGGCGTCCTCAAACGGAAGGTGGAGGAGCCCAAGGTCTCTAACATCCACCAGCTCCGTGATGTCGTCATGGAGGAGTGGAAGAGGACTCCAGAGGCAACCTGTGAAGCTCTGGTAAATCCAAGCCCAAGAGGGTTAAGCAGTGCTGGAAAATAATGGTGGCCACACACAATATTGACACTTTGGGCCCAATTTGGACATTTTAACTTAGGGCTGTCCTCACGTTTGTTGGCAGCAGTTTAGACATTAATGGCTGTGTGATGTGTTATTTTGAGGGGACAGCAAATTTACACTGTTATACAAGCTGTACACTCACTACTTTACATTGAAGCAAAGTGTCATTTCTTCAGTGTTGTCACATGAAAGGATATAATCAAATATTTCCAACAATGTAAGGGGTGTCTTCACTTCGTACAATTTATTGATTTATTTAAATATGTTCAAAAGTAAAGTTGTAGACCTACAAGTCTGGAAAGTTCATAATGGTAGCAATACTTCCCTGGTTAACCCTGAGGCTTACAAGGTATTAGCAAAAACAAATGTGACTGTCTATCCCAACCTCGTAGTGTGGATGTTATTTTATCTCAGCTCACATTAACTAAAATGCCTTCATTGTCCAGGATGTAATTTTTTGAAGGAATCAAAAGCTGTAAACTTGTAAACAGCCAACTAATGTCATTAACAGTGATTCTACACTTAAAGGTCAAATTACTCAGAAATGTGACTGTGAGAACAGTTGTTCAATGTCTTCTGTGGCTCTGCACAGTCTTCTGAAGAAAAAAATCCCTGATGATGCCATGAGGGTTTTCTCAGCTTCTGTTATAAACATATTTATAACTGGAAGCCTGAGTTACAGTCTGGGTTGTGACGTTTGACAGATGCAGGCATTTAGAAAGCAGGGAATGTAGGATCCTTTTTATTTAAAGGGTGATCCATACAAGTGACTTAGAATTGAAATGAAAATGCACGTACGAGTAACTATTGTGTAAGATAGATGCAAGGCCAACAGTAACAAGTTCTCAAACATGAACTTCTGCCAGACTGATAAGTGAACTGCAGAGTAAAGATTAAAGTAATGACTTCCTTTGTGTTTCCACAGGAGCTGACATCCCCTCGTCTCATCAAAAGCCATCTTCCCTATCGATTCCTCCCCACAGCCATGCACAATGGAGAGGCCAAGGTCAGTCCACTGACACTGGACATTACACATACAATAGCCATGACTTTTCATTGCATTATAGTGCTAATAATATTTTGAGGTAGGTGGCATGTATAAACAAATTTTGCCCTGAATTTGAACAAGTTTAAAAGCATAACATTAGTTCAACCTCAACAGCATAACTAAATGCAATAGGAAATGTATATTTTTGATTCTTAAAAAACAGCTGAGATAAATAAATTGCCATTAAAGCAGGATGTATCACATATGATACAAACAAAAAAACCTAAGTGCAAATTAAAATGGCATATTTTATTTTCTATTTCTCAATTTTTTTTCTGATAATTGTTTCATTTGTTTAGAACAAATTTTTGTAATGTCCAGCATAGTCTGTTAATCTATCTGCGATATGCATCACATCAACCATCAGCTCCGATAACCAAATTCCACAGGGCTGTACGTCAACAGCTGCATTACATGGGACTAGTGTTATGTATCTGACTATAGTTACTGTTGTTGTGATTCTCTTCTAGGTGATCTACATGGCGCGTAACCAAAGGACCTGGTGGTGTCTTACTACCAATTCCACCGCTCTCTCAGGACCATGAGCTACCGAGGAACCTTCCAGGAGTTCTGCCGGCGCTTCATGAATGACAAGCGTAAGTATACATGAAGTTTATTGGAGAAGTGGGACAGTATGACCCTCCTTCTACTTTCAAGGCAGTGAACTCCTGTACTCTTTTGTACTGTCAACAGACTACTGTAAGTTCATCCAGTGGAATCTCTCTCTCTCTCTCTCTCAAAGTGGGATATGGTTCCTGGTTTGAACATGTTCAGGAATTTTGGGAACATCGTATGGACTCTAATGTCCTCTTCTTGAAATATGAAGACATGTACAAGGTAACGTCCTCACAGTCTCTTGTGCTTTTTTTAGCCACTGTGTGCTAACTCTTAGCTTAACAGTATGTAACTCCAAGTCATAACACTGGAGTCTGACCTTCGAGAAGATCTCCTCTGACTGTTAGGTGGACAGTGGAGCTGCTGTACTGATGAATGTGTCTGTGAACAAATAGCTTATAGTTTTGCCTTGATTGAAGTATTACAATTGACTCCCACTATGAACTACAATTAACTATTAAATAAAACCAGGCCAATAAAAGTATATAGAATAAAATTGAATAAAATACCCAACAATTAAAATTAAAGCTAGGGTAGGTTGGAGAAACCAGCAAGTGACAGCTAGATTTTGAAAGTATCCAACTGAATAAATCCCACCCCCTCCTTTCAGGCCTCCCTAAAAAGCCACTTCCCCAAGACATGTTCATGTGCAGTGAGTGCACGGGCAGAGGGTGCACAGGTAGACAGGTAGGAAAGTCAGAGCATTTGGTTGATTGATTGCTGTTGGGACGTAAAGAGAATTTCAACAAATATAACAAAAAAGCTTCAGAAATAAATTTTATACTCTTTGCTTTAAAAGAATGAAATAAACAAAACATATGAAATGTGTTACAAGTGAGAAAATAAAATAGTAAACTTTAATAAAAGCCTTGAGAAGAGATGAGAAGTTAAAAGATATTACTTGTTCTCCAAGCCTGAGACAGGGAGTTCCTGTCTTGATTTTGGCTGGAACCCAAAAGCAGACGGGAGACAGGCAGTTAAGTTTCAACTATTTATTAGTATAACTTTGGGCTGGCGAAGGGGCTGAGTTTTGGGGAGGATGTCCAGATCCGTGTTGTTGGAGTGGGCAGGCAGGCTTGGCTGGCTGTAGACTTTGTGAGGGCTGGGGTTTGTTAGTGATTGAGCAGGAGCTGAGGCTGAGTTAGCTGGCTGGAAAGCTCGACAGGCAGAGGGAGGAATCTGGTTGTAGGTGAATCTGAAGACGGAGATAACAAGAGTTAATGAGGCTGGCAGGCAAGCAAGGCAAAGTCTCAACAATACGGTGGGCACTGGATGTGGTTTTGGAAGGGAGATTGATCTGACGGTCAGATTTGTAGAGAGACAGCAAAGGCACTAGCTATTTCACTGCTGGTTGAGAAATTTACCATAAAGGTTAGCAAGTTGGCTAACATTAACTTGCAGTTTGCTGCATTCTGTTTGTGTTGCTCGGCTTTTCAAGAAGTTAGCAATTTAATATGTCCATGGTGATTGAGTTAAGCTATAGCTGATTGTGCATGTATTGCTATATCATATTCCAATATTTTGGCGTCATTTTTCTACAGTGGGAGGAAGTGGAGACATGTCGTCAATCTTTATACACAGTCTATGGATTGAACTGTCTGCTGTAAAACAACTTCAGACCTTACCTGCGATTCTGTAACTCTGTCCTTCTGTCGGACAGGATTCTCCTGATGCATGATTTAACAAACAAATACCTTTCCTCCCGTCATTTTCCTACACATGTAACCTCTTTAATCTTCAGTTTGATCCTCTATAGCTCGTTTCACAAGACGTGGCACATGTATCCTTTCTATCTTATGTACAGCATTATTGCGTAAAACTCTCCAGTCAAAAAAAGTATCAATATTTGCCCTTTGCTTTGTCAAATATCCCATTTTACATCATCTGGTCTTATCACGTTTAGCAGGCACAGACTCACTCATGTCCTCTCCTCTGCAGATAGGCTTTTCTTAGAACTGATAACTGAAATGAGGGCAAGCAATTGTAACATTTTTTAATTTGGTTTTGGTATTGTTGAAAAAATATTGTTGAAAGACATCTGAGATGCTGTATTTCTGTGGGTTTTTAAAAATGTATTTTCTATTTAATATACACTGCCATAACTGAAGCATGTACCTACCTACTGCCTCACTGAATCTGAGAGATCAGTAACTTTAAACACACCACCTCCCTGCGCGGACTATGTTGCTCTATATACTATGTCACCTGGCATTGACCTGACCATGCTTGTAGCGTTGAAAAATTATGTAAACCTCTTAATGCCGATTGTCGCAAATTTGCATCACACCTCTTCCTTTCAGACTGCAGCTGAGATAGCGTTTGTATTCCCCAAATGTCTGTTTGTGCATATTCGATACATACCTGGGAACCTTTTGCAAGCACTGGTTTCTCTTTTATGCCCGTTGTCACTAATTTGCATCATACCTACATCATACCTGAAGTTATATATTTTCTATGTTCTATAGACAAATTAACAATTTCCACTTAATTTAACATCAACCTGAAAGCAAATGAAAACAGAAATAATTATTTAAATTTCTTTATTGTAAATAAATTCAGGCATCAAGGGGTTAAAGGGATCCCAAGTGTGACTTCAGAGTGAGAACGGGTTGGCAGGACCATAGATTTCCTTTATATGTCCTGGATAACCGCTCATCCTCACACAGCAGTAAATCTGAAAGTAAAAGGTGACAGGGAAAGCTAATGATTGGGCCTAAAACTGATTGTGGGTGATTTTGCTGTTAAAGATGTAAAAGGCGTAAGCCTTTTCTAAGGATATGGTCTGTGACAGACAGAAAGAATGCCATATATTCTGACTGCACATCCAACTGTGAAAAACATCATAGTGCACACACCAATGGCACTGTGAAACAGTGATCAGACTTTATTGATCTATTGAACACACTCAGTTCCTTGAATGCTGAGGTGTTTATCTGTGGCCTACTAGTCATAGGAGGAGTTCAAGAGATTGTTGACACTGAACACATGACTTTCAACTGCATATACTGTCCATTCACTGCATGTTATTGACAACCTTTCGTTCTGGGACATCTTTTAAAGGCAGAACCAAACAGGGTGAAGCTGCTTTTAGCTGCGATGCTGCACACGGATGGAGCCAGCTTCCTGATGATCTCAAATGCACACCAACCCTAGCCGCTTTAAAATCAAAATGAAACATTCTGCTGTTCTCCGGTGCCTTTTCCATAGCAAAGCAAAATCCAAGAAGAGATCTCATAGTTGTTTCCTCCTTTTCTCCTAGACACAAATGAGCTACTTTTAATACCAAGGTGAGACCAAAGGCATTTTCTCCTGCTTCTCAAATTCAACTCAGGAGAAACAACCATATAAAATCTCATTTATGGCTGACTCTGATCAGAACAAGAGATCTCTAACTGAACTTAAATAAGTCTAATTTAAATCTCCTGAACATTGGACCATGAGATCAGAGAAAGAGCTCAAAGAAAACTCAGCTATGACTCCTGGGATCTCAGATTCTTCTCAAATATGTCTCATATTTTCTTTCTCATATTGGCCTCAGGAGCGAAAACTCATCTCTGTCTTACTCTGATCAAAAGATGAGATCTCTACAGTATCTTAAATAAGTTTTATTTAAGTCTCCAGAATGTGGATCAGAAAAATCTCTCAGTTTTGTCTTAGTGACCCCACTTAGGGGTGAAAAATAAAGTAATTTTACTCAAGTACTTTACTTAAGTCAAATGTTGAGGTACTTGCCCTTGAGTATTTTCTTTTTAGGAGTCTTTATACTTTCACTCCCCTGAATTTCAAATCCTGTATTGTACTGTGTGCTGTTTATCTGAACCATGTTACAAGTTACTGAGTAGAAAACTAAAATATATTTTGCCATTGAAAATAATGCACTTTCAATTTATGTTTTCCAGTTTGTTAAGGTAGTCACAGCCAGCATAACTGGATCACCACTTTGACATGATGTTTAGAGATGAATTCATTAAGGATTAAATGTACACAGGAAATGAGATTGTTGTATCTCAGTTCTTGCGTCTTACAGAATGAGCACTTTTAATTTTGAAACTTGAGTACATTCACTATGGAATACTTTTATATATTTACTTGAGTAAAATTTTGACAACTTTAATTTGTCTTACCTAAGTCTCAAAAACTTAATCTTAACTAATCTTTTCTCCAGGTAGGCAGTGGTTGGCAATAGGCGGCTGGCCCGCCAGCAATAATATCTGACCCATGGCCAGATTACTTTGATAGCGGCAAAACCCCCCAGATCTGAGTCAGGGCAGCAAAAGTTACTGACATAATCCCTTCCTCTTAAGTGATTGTGCCTACAAAACAAAAGCGTGAGAACGTACTTTATATCATGTTTGATTAAACCTGGCCTGCCATCTAATGACTTGAAAAGAATTTGGCCTGACGCCAGACTTATTTTCTGACCCCTGTCTTAAGGGGGTTTTAGGAGCAACAATTCAGATTGAAGTGATCTAAAAATAAATACAATTGATGTTAGTGCTTTCGCAAGAGTTAAAGAAAAGCCTATTCTGAGCAAAACATATTTCCTCTGGGTTGTTACATTTGGGACAACTTATAACTTATAACTGTATTTATTATCTATTCCATTTTGTATTTTATTTTTTACTTTTCTTTGCCTACATGAAGCACTTTGAATTGCCTCTGTGTTTCAAATGTATAAAACTGCCTTGATTAATGGACTAAACCAAAACGGTGAACATGGTAAAGGTTATACTGTAGCCTACCTTCTAAACAGCAGCTTTGTCACTGTGAGTATGTTAGCATACTGATGTTATTACATTTACCTGACGCTTTTATCCAAAGCGACTTAAAATTGCTTTATACGTCAGAGGTCGCATGCCTCTGGAGCAACTAGGGGTTAAGTGTCTTGCTCAGGGACACAATGGTGGATGGGTCACAGCAGGAATTGAACCCTGGTCTCTCACACCAAAGGCATGTGTCTTATCCATTGCACCATCACCACCCCTATGGTAGTAGTTAGCTCAGAGCACGGCTCTGTCTAAGTACAGTACAGCTTCACAGAGCTGTCAACATGGCTGTAGACTTGTTTTTATGATACCTCGTGACAGAGAGTTTACCATCATTTGCAGCTTTTGTTCAGTAATCTTTAACTGAGCCTTGAACATACAGAGAGACACATGCAAACATACATGTGCATAGCTGTGAAGGTATAGCCTGTATGTTTAACTGCTCCTAAGTGATTC